CCAATTAATCCAATTATCTTTTTGGGTACTCATTCACCAAGTTGTAAGTATTCTCTCCCTCTTTTCCTTTTCCTATGCTACATCCATTTTGATTATTTCTTTAACTACGTGAAATGTATATTGGAAACGTATGTAGAGATGTATATTGAGACTCGTTCATCATGTAATGGGATTGAATGACCGGTGGATGGGTCATGGCATTGAAAATTGATTTGTCATCATCATGGAAATTTGTTTAAAACATGGTTTTGAAATATGATTTGTAATTTCTGGGACGAAGTTCTTTAAGGGGAGAGGTTATAATGATCCCGTTTTTTACCCGACTCTTGTGGTATTCCGGACTTGGGTTTGATGGTTTCATATTGTTGTTTACCTCTTTCCTCCCTTGTATCTCTTGAATTTGGCCTTTGGGTTATTGTGGTTGCGTTTGGAATAGGTTGGTTGCTTGTTTTTCTCAAACCTTGTGGCCTAGATTTTTGCTTCTCCGCTTGAGCGGCCTTTCTTGTGCTCGAGCGAGATTTGCAAACCCTCAGTACTTTGCACGACTACAAAAGTGCTGGAGGGGTGTCTTTTACGCTCGAGTAGGTTGTCTGTTGTCGGTAAAGGTATTGAACGTGTGTATTTCGTGCTCGAACAGGTCTCTTTTGCGCTTGAGCAGAACAAATTTTGTGTCTGACACTCAAGTGTCAACTTCTCCGCTTGAGCGGACTGCGCATATATCAGATCGCGAAAAGCACTTTTTACATCACTTTTTCATATCTTTTCATCCTAAACCCTAAAGTTGAGAGCCTCTCTCTCTCAAACTCATATTCTTTCTACATTTTCACCTAGATCTAGTGATCTATGCACCCTCCTTCCTTTGATAAAAAGATCGAGCTCCCCAAGATCTTTATTTTCATCAGATTGGAAGTTGGTTTCGACATTGGTGGAGTCTCACCTATGCTTTGCTTGGTCTACTAGCTTGAGGTAGGGATTTTCTACACTTTGTTATAATTTTTAACTTAGTTATTTGTGATTGTGTGACAATGGTGGGATTTGGGGGTATTTTGAGCGAAACCTAGGGTTTGGGTGAGATGTAAAAGAGGGGTTTTTGGTGGAAATGGAATACATGAACTTGGGGTTTGAAAATGAAGTCTTGTTGTGTCAAAATGGGTGATTTTGGTACTTGGGTTGATATTTTGAAAACGGAGAAATTTTGCCCGAAAATGACTATCATATCTATTTTGTATAAATAGTTAAAATTAGTATTGTAAATACGGAATTGAGCGAGTATTGGAATGGATGGTGGAATTGAATATGAAATGCTTCATATCCTTGAAAATTTTGATTAAATTATCTGTCTTGAGATTATATATTTGTTTTGAAATATCTGTATTGGGCTATCAGTGAAGGATAGCTTTAATTGTTGTAGAAATTGCATGTGAATTAGGTAAATTGAAACTAGTCCATGGTTGATTATCATTGAATATGATCATGTTATAAATACATTGTATATGTATGATTATTTGGGAGGAGAAAGGAGATATAGTCCATATGTGTGATTATGTGTTTAAATACATTGCATATGTCTGATTGTTTGGGAGTAGAAAGGGGATGAACACTATTATAATTAAGTTGGACGGAGTGTCCTGGGTGAAAGTCCCGAAACTATACATGGGTGCCGATCCCGCGGACGAAATATCCATAAAATGGCAAATTGAAACTATATATGGATGTCGATCCCGCGAACGAAATATCCGTAAAATAGCAGTTTGAAGTGTTTGTGTGTGTTTTGTATGATTGGAAAACCACTGAGTTGTAGCCACAGTTTGGTTGTTGAAAGGTAATGAAATTGACTCATGAATTGAGAAGAATAAATGAACTGAAGAAAAATGGATTAAGGATTGAAATTGGCCTCATGCGGGTAATTGGATTAGGGGCTAGTGATGATGAACTCAATGGATTGTGTTGGTCCATTTTAATATCTTTTATTTATTTATTGATATATCTTGTTCATGAATGGAGTTTCATTACTTTGGTAACCTCTTATCTTGTTCATGAATGGAGATTCATGACTTTGGTAACCCTTTATCATGTTCATGAAATAGAGAGTAATTAGAATTTATGAACTTGGTGGTGAGTTAGTTTTTGGAGTTACTCCATTTACTCTAGTTTAATGATCATCTTTATTTTTGGTGTAACTTGTAAGGTCCTAATGGCCTATAAATAGTCCCTCTCATCTACTCTTTTCTACATCAACACACCAACTATTTTCTATACAAGAGAGATTACTAGCAAAAAAGGGTGTTTTTCTTGGTGGAGCTTTGGGTTCACCTTCTTGTGCAGAGTTGGCCTGAACCATACGACAAATGGTCGAGCTGTTGCATCCTAGAGGGGACAAGTCATAATTTTGTGACTGCTGCATCGGTATTTGGATTCTTCTTACTGCAGTGGGCATGATCTCCTTAAAGAAAACGAGATATCCGTGTCTCAGCCTGATCTATGTGTATCTCATTTTCTTTGCATCATTTATTAATAAAATATAATTTTTTCTGGTATTTTCACCAACAATTTTAAGGAGAAC